CACATAATGACATGATTTTTTGTTCTTTGATGCCTGATAGCTGATCCCTTCGGCACCTCCTGATCAAGCTGGTGTGCTTCTTCCATGTGGGCTTTGGTGCTTCTGAGCCAAATGGCTGCTTGTTTACTTTCAAGCCTTTAAGACCCCAGACATGAAATCTTTTGATAGCCAGGCACCATCACCTTTCTTCATCGTATTAGCTTAAGCACACATTTGTCTTCAGCGATTGTGTCAGGAAGGTGAGTATCATGGAATGCCAGTTTAATACAACAAAGTGTTCTTGCATTGAGGGAGTACTTGAATGGAGACCCAATGTCCATCTGCTACCTTAATACTGAGCATGCATATATATGCACATAGTTCTATTTGTACATCCTCATATATAAATATATTTACATATGTACATGCCTTTATTTATGCATCTAAAAATGCCCTTTGCCTCCTAGTTCTTTCCTCTATTTACTTTACCTTCCTCTTGTCCCACTATCATGTTCAGCCTTCATTGGGTTTCAGTAATTCCTCTCGCTTACATCACACTTGATCATGTCCTACCAGGCCTCCTACACTCTCCTCACCACTGAATTGAATTACTTGTTACCTTGTCCCTGGGTTTGTTAATACCACTTCCTTTCCCCCTACCTCCCCCTTTTCCACATCCCCACGGAATTGTCTGGTTGTTTTCTCCTCCAGATTGTTCATCCAGCCTATTTTATTTAGACAGATCTGTGGAGATAGCATGCACAAAAACAGGACAGAGCAAAATCAATCAACAAAAGAACAACAACAACAAGCCAATGACAAAAACCAAAACAAAACACAGCTACAAGAAAATAAAGCTTGTGGTTAGTTCAAGGACTGTTTATTTGCCTTTAGGATTGTTTTCCAGTCAAGTCTCTTGGGGTGCCAAGCCCTGGCCCTAAAATCTATTTTTGGTCTTCCCTGGGGATTTTGTTGCTCTGTTCCCCTTGCTGTTCTGTTGCACGCCCTTAGTGTTTTGCCTCAGTGTGGTGGGATCTGTACTCCATGCCGGTGTGTTTCCAGTTCCTATCTGTACCACTGTACATCCGCTGGTCTAGCCAGACTTGCAAGGTAGAATTGGGATCATGATAGTGGGGGCGGGGAGGAAGCATTTAGAAACCTGAGAAAAGTTGTATTTTTCATCATTGCTACATCGCACCCTGACTGGCTCATCTCCTCCCCGAAACCCCTCTGCAAGGCGATCTACAGTGGCCTACAGATGGGCTTTGGGTCTCCACTCCGCACTCCTCCCATCATTCACTATGGTAAGATTTTTTTGTTCTAATGATGCCTTATACCTGATCCCTTCAACACCTCCTGATCGCACAGGCTGCTGTGCTTCTTTCATGTGGGCTTTGTTGCTTCTGAGCTTGATGGCTGC